AGCCGTTTTTGTAGGCATTAAACTGCCAGAATTTTAAAAGACGATATCTCCGTTTGCATTGAACTTTCAGCTTAGTAACTTTGCAGATATTGTTTATGCTCAAACAGCAACATTACACACTAACTAACGTTAAAAAAGTGAAATCGCAATGAACCACCCCTTTAAACATACAGACCACTTATGAGGCTTGTATTACTAGTAAGATGTGCAGTTTCATTATTTACTTCATTTAAATCTTGTTTTAGCACGGCTGCTTCTAGTCTTTCATCAGTACTGGGGCTCAGGCTCCCCATCAAAAATGTGTGCCCATATTTTGAAACTCTTTTTAATACTCTTTTGGATATTAATCATCTTTAATTATTCTTTACAAACAGTACCCGCAAAAGAGCTGCTTTTCCATTGACAAACGATAGAAGTTTTGTTTCTTACAGTGCATTGTAGGCAAATATCCACCTCATCCAGCGCTCTTTTTGTTTTGTTTTATATAATATCCCGTTACTATTTCAGTGTGAGAAACCTCTGCAAGCAGTGTAACGTGGGCGTGAGCTCACGAATGAATCAAACTGAATTGCCAAATATTCCAGATCTTCTGTTATTTGGTTGATTAGATCAAAGTGATTAATTGGTGAATCTGCATCACTAGTTCTGATTCCAAACAGCTGATGGAAACACACACAACTCGACTGCTCAAACCTCAGCTTGGAAATCTTCATCCACACCCAAGAATTGATCAGTAATATTTCACTGTGTTTCACTGGATCAGTAAAAGCTCTGCTCTCAGATGGAGGTTTGGTCAGAGGACTTCATGCATGTGTGTTTTCACAGATACGCCAAACTGCAGCCGGGTGCAGAAGCGCGCAGAATGACCCCTGATGAGCGGACGGAGCTCAGGAAGTACGTGCTTCATGGTTAGAGTTGGGCATCACTTGAATTTGATCAATTCCAATTCTGCTCATCGATTCTCAGTTTCAATTCCGATGTGGTTAAAAAAAAAAGTCAAATATTTAGATATCAAACATTTATTTTGTGTCAAAACATTTAGTTGCTGCTGAGCACCATGAACACAAATCAGCCGGCTGCATAAAAACTGACTCGATTAAGAGCTGTTTGTGTGTAATATAGAGCGGCACGATTCTGGATAAATTGAGACTTGTTTTTAATGGAGGTTGTAGTTCTCTCACAATTCTGAAGAAAAAATATTAGACAACTAAACAAAATCTGATGGAATGAATGAATGAATGATTCAATGACTCACTCAAGATTCACTCGTTTCATTACTGGATGAATCAGTGTTTTTGAATGAATCTCTTGAATGAATGATTCAAAGACAAATACATTTTTAACAGCTCTTTTTCTCCAGCTAAAAATAAAAGATGCGCACACAGGAATTGATGAGTGGAATTTTAATTTTGCAACAAGTATCCGATTCCTGACCTTAAGGATTTGATTCTGGAATTGGAATTGATTTTCGATTCCCAACCCTAGTCATGATTGAAATAGCTTATTTCCACTGATACGAGTGTGTTTGGCTAGTTCTGTGTCTTCTCGTGCGCAGCACCGTCTCCTCTATCCTGGGCGCCTGGTTGGATCAGTACTCGGAGGACTTCTGGAAGCCTCCGGACTACAGCTGCCTGAGACGCCTGATCCACTACCTGCAGCTCAGCTTCCCCGGGTCGGATCTGGAGCGCCGGGCCTGCAACCTGCTGAGCCAGTTCCACCGCAGACTCCAGCAGGAA